ACCATGCTTCACTGTTGGGACTGTATTGGACAGGTGATGAGCAGTGCCTGGTTTTCTCCACACATATCGCTTAGAATTAAGGCCAAAAAGTTCTATCTTGGTCTCATCAGACCAGAGGATCTTATTTCTCACCATCTTGGAGTCCTTCGGGTGTTTTTTAGCAAACTCCATGCGGGTTTTCATGTGTCTTGCACTGAGGAGAGGCTTCTGTCGGGCCACTCTGCCATAAAGCCCCGACTGGTGGAGGGCTGCAGTGATGGTTGACTTTCTACAACTTTCTCCCATCTCCCGACTGCATCTCTGGAGCTCAGTCACAGTGATCTTTGGGTTCTTCTTTACCTCTCTCACCAAGGTTCTTCTCCCCCGATAGCTCAGTTTGGCCGGATGGCCAGCTCTAGGAAGGGTTCTGGTCGTCCCAAATGTCTTCCATTTAAGGATTATGGAGGCCACTGTGCTCTTAGGAACCTTAAGTGCAGCAGAAATTTTTTTGTAACCTTGGCCAGATCTGTGCCTTGCCACAATTCTGTCTCTGAGCTCTTCAGGCAGTTCCTTTGACCTCATGATTCTCATTTGCTCTGACATGCACTGTGAGCTGTAAGGTCTTATATAGGCAGGTGTGTGGCTTTCCTAATCAAGTTCAATCAGTATAATCAAACACAGCTGGATTCAAATGAAGGTGTAGAACCATCTCAAGGATGATCAGAAGAGATGGACAGCACCTGAGTTAAATATATGAGTGTCACAGCCAAGGGTGTGAATACTTAGGACCATGTGATATTTCAGTTTTTTTTTTTTAATAAATCTGCAAAAATGTCAACAATTCTGTGTTTTTCTGTCAATATGGGGTGCTGTGTGTACATTAATGAGGAAAAAAAATTAACTTAAAGGATTTTAGCAAATGGCTGCAATATAACAAAGAGTGAAAAATTTAAGGGGGTCTGAATACTTTCCGTACCCACTGTATATATATATATACACACACACCTGGGAAAATGTATTTATTAAGGTGTTTCACCGGCATTTGCCTTTATTACAGCCTTGTACCTTCTTAGAATAAATGAATACAACTTCATACAACGTCTACAGTGGACTGTTGTCTATCAGAACATCTGCCAGTTGCTTCAGAGATGTTGAAGTAGATAATCTGTTTCTCTGCCTTCTCTCTAAAACTGTCTGCAGTGGTTTGATGATATTCAAATAAATTGATATGTCTGGCCAGGACAGATGTTGAAGTTCATCTTGGTGCTTCAGCTGATCATGATCATGACTCCATCTTTTTTCACATTTTAGCATTGGTATCTGTGATAAATGTTTTAGCAATTGCAGCTCTTTCTTGGATGTTGGCTTTGTGCAGCTCTCTGTGGTCGATTTTTGAGAAAACAGGGTCTTCAAGGTGAATATTGAGATTTGGTGTCACTTTTGCTGCAGTCTTTTGGATTGGATTGGACAAACTGGATTGTGTCCAGTTTTGTTTGGACACAATCCTTCTTAGTGTTTTGCAGTCCCTATCATTCACCTTCAGTTTTCATTCACTTTTCTTCTTCTCTGATGAATTCTTGCCATGCTTCGTGAATTCTTGTCATACTCAGTCATAATCGTAAAGACTTTTGTTCTTAAAACACTAAATAATTGGGCAGATAAGGTTACAGGCGCTGCTGATAAACAGCTTCCATGGTTTGTCCCTTTTGGAAGTCTAACTGGCTACCCATTTCATGGAAATTTAAGAAAATGTGAGTGGTGCTCTCTTGGGCATAATTATGTACCAAAGTTTGTCAAAATGACTAACACTAAGTATTGCACTTGTGTGTGTGTGTGTGTGTGTGTGTGTTTTAAATAATGTATTGCATTTTTGTCTGAGAGATGATAAAATCACTTCAACTTACATTGAAAGAAGTTGAGCCATATCTAGAGACCACGGGCCGGATTCAAGTCTTCATAAGAAAGAAGTTAAGAAATTTCTTAAGATTAATCCCATAAGAATGTTTCTAAGTGCAGTTCTTGAAAAATTCTTAAGAAGTTCTCAAATATGCTCTTAAGAGCATCTTTTTTTTTCTTAAGAAGAAAATTACAGTCTTTTAGCTTTAACTGATTGAATGAATAGCAGTTCATGATGAACTCTAACTGATCAACTCAGTGAGAACCACTTCTTTTTTTGGGCTCTCTCTACAGTGAGTGTGTCCAGTGTTTGGGCACTCTTATGTGTGCCAATATCTGCCAAAGATTAAGTCATATTTATGGACTGAAATAAAAAAAACAAGCTCCCTGTTTGACTCATTTTTGTAGAGTTGTTAGGCTACTGAATTTCAAATTCACATATAATATAAGTTTACACAAAATCACACATAATAATGACCTGTCGTTGTTTACATTATCAGTCATTGGTGTAACTTCAGAAAGATTTTGCACATCCATAGAAGTAGTAATGTATTATAATAATATAATAATTTGTAATTCTTAAATATAACATCTATCTATCTATCTATCTATCTATCTATCTATCTATCTATCTGTCTGTCTATCTGTCTGTGTCTGTCTGTCTGTCTACAGTTCTATATATCATTGTTTATGATGATTTTTTACGAAAAATATTCTTAGCTTTTTTTCTTTTTGAAAATATCAGTTTTATCAGTTTATCCAATTATCAGTTTCTCTCAAGAAGAATTTTATTCTAAAGAATGTTTCGTGAATCCGGCCCCAAAATATTAAAGAGACACTAAAGTGAGCTAGAAAGAAAACACCTGGAAAAGTATCTTTGGATGTTCTTCAAAATACGAAAATGGTAATGGTTCACTGAAAGGCTGTTTGGGGAACCAAAGACCTTCTATGGCATCTCTGTGAGAACCTTTATTTTTAAAAGTATACAGGCGTACTCATTCTCCAGGGAACTCAAAGCGCTTGCTGTGCACTGTGTGTGTGTGCATTCGCATAATACACGTATGTGTTTGTCGTGTGTGTGCACGCTCCTCTAAGTCCTGTCTCGAAGGGTCGTGATGGAACACAGTTAGTGAAGATCCTCGGACGCCCTCTGAGACCACAGTATGTGAAGCATGGGGGAGGAAGGATACTGCGTAGTCTGTAATCTCACCGACACACACTCCTCCCTGACTCGGTGAAAGAATTGAAAAGCTGTCGCTCGCAGGCCACACAGCCGTCCCACGCAAACATGTATGCCACACGCATGCACACTCTTACACAGGAATTTAAAGCAAAGGCAGTGAAAACTTTATGGGCGGTTGAAAGGCTTTGTACACCCTACTCCTCTGCATGTGTTACCGCAGCATGCACAGAGTGTTTTCCTTCCTGAATCATGAGCTTTGGTTTAAATTCGATCTCACAAAGAACTGGGATCATTATTAAAGAATTTCAGACTGTCAAAAAAAGCTTTGTGCTGATGCATTTTCTTTCTTTGCTTTCAACTTTCTAATTCTCGACCTCAACACAGCTCTTCCTGTCAGAGCTCAGTGGAAAATGAGGTTACTTTGTTCTTTTATGAAGTTGAAAGCAAAGAATGTTACATTTGGGTTTCTTTGTAATTAGAGAGAGGCTCATATGATCGACCATACTGATTAATTGGCCAGTTATAGATTAACAGTATATCAGAAAATTGTGAACTGTCAGTTTCAAAATCCACCAACATCTTTGTAAAAAATGAATGCATTTTCAAATACGTGTAGTGAATTTTGAGTAAATATTTCATAAAAAAGTGTTTATTTAAATTTCACTTGCTATAATGAAAATGTAATATAATAAAGTCTATTGCTTATCATGTATTTGATTAAAATTTCAGTAAAACAGTAATATTGTGAAATATTATTAATATTAATTTGTTAAAAGAAAAGTCTTATTGACTGTAGCATTCAAATAAAAATATATTTACCCTATTTCCATGCAATACTAAAACAAATTAACATAAGAGTAAGATGATTAGGTCAGTGTTTAATGGTCATTCCGCCCTGACTTTGCACCGTGTTCATGAAATGTCATGTACAAAGAACAGGATTGACAGCCACACTAATGTCAGAGTGACACTGCTGGAGACATGCTACTCTGTTAGCTGAAAATGAACCTTTAGAAGAACAAATCCAAGATAAAAACAGAGAGTACCAGGTAGTGTTTGCTCATGTGATAACAGCTAGCTAAAATATAAGGGTAATGTACTGCTGTTACTGCTGTAATAATACACGCTGGTTAGTTGCTATTATAGCACTACCGTTTGCCAACATGTGAGAAAGTCCATCTGTCAACCTTATCTTGTTGGTCGGTTCAGCAGATACCAAACATTAGCCAATGACATCACTCACAATCTCATTCTAGCCCTTCGCGACCGGTTATCTAGTCAGAGAGCTGGTAAAAAAAAAAAAATGCTGCCATTTTTATTATAGCCAATGTGATGGGGACATGTGAGTTTTTACATCATAGAATCATTAGGTTGAGCATGAATGATGATTAGGTCACCCAAAAATGAAAATTCTGTCATTATTTACAGAACAAGAACAGGAACTGAGGTTTCAGACTTCAATAAATAAATAAAAAGTAGTTCATATGACTCTTGCACAATATTTCAAGTCGTCTGAAGTCATACCATGGCTTCATGTGAGGAACAAACCAAAATTTAAATCACTATTCGGTGATAATCGTAAAGTGAGCTGTTGATTGCTGCACTGAATCATTGAGTCAGTGAGTTGAACTCAAGAACTGAACGAGTCTGATTTGTGAATGAATCAATTAGAGAGTATTAACTAGATGAACCAATTAACTGAAAAGATTTAACTCAAAAGATTTGTTCACAAATCAGCCATCGCTGTGTCTCAAATGAGCGCTCATGAAAATGCCGGTCAGATGTCAAGATTTTCAGTGGCTATTTCTGTTATAATGCTCAGAATATATCTTGAATGAGTCATATGTACCATTTTCATGTCATATTTGAAGCTTGAAAGCTTCAGTCACCATTTGTTGTAATTTTATACTGATTATTTAAAACATCTCTTTTGTGTTTTGCAGAGAAAATAAAGTCAAACGGGTTTGGAAACGACGTGAGGGTGAGTAAATGACAGAACTATTTCTTTAAAGAAACCACTGTTTTTATGTCCCTTGAAACACTGGGCACAGTCAGACCTGAATGGGATCTAATGACTGTCGACTGGTGTTCCTTTAACTACAGAGTAATTATCTATCTATCTATCTGTCTGTCTATCTGTCTGTGTCTGTCTGTCTGTCTACAGTTCTATATATCATTGTTTATGATGATTTTTTACGAAAAATATTCTTAGCTTTTTTTCTTTTTGAAAATATCAGTTTTATCAGTTTATCCAATTATCAGTTTCTCTCAAGAAGAATTTTATTCTAAAGAATGTTTCGTGAATCCGGCCCCAAAATATTAAAGAGACACTAAAGTGAGCTAGAAAGAAAACACCTGGAAAAGTATCTTTGGATGTTCTTCAAAATACGAAAATGGTAATGGTTCACTGAAAGGCTGTTTGGGGAACCAAAGACCTTCTATGGCATCTCTGTGAGAACCTTTATTTTTAAAAGTATACAGGCGTACTCATTCTCCAGGGAACTCAAAGCGCTTGCTGTGCACTGTGTGTGTGTGCATTCGCATAATACACGTATGTGTTTGTCGTGTGTGTGCACGCTCCTCTAAGTCCTGTCTCGAAGGGTCGTGATGGAACACAGTTAGTGAAGATCCTCGGACGCCCTCTGAGACCACAGTATGTGAAGCATGGGGGAGGAAGGATACTGCGTAGTCTGTAATCTCACCGACACACACTCCTCCCTGACTCGGTGAAAGAATTGAAAAGCTGTCGCTCGCAGGCCACACAGCCGTCCCACGCAAACATGTATGCCACACGCATGCACACTCTTACACAGGAATTTAAAGCAAAGGCAGTGAAAACTTTATGGGCGGTTGAAAGGCTTTGTACACCCTACTCCTCTGCATGTGTTACCGCAGCATGCACAGAGTGTTTTCCTTCCTGAATCATGAGCTTTGGTTTAAATTCGATCTCACAAAGAACTGGGATCATTATTAAAGAATTTCAGACTGTCAAAAAAAGCTTTGTGCTGATGCATTTTCTTTCTTTGCTTTCAACTTTCTAATTCTCGACCTCAACACAGCTCTTCCTGTCAGAGCTCAGTGGAAAATGAGGTTTCTTTGTTCTTTTATGAAGTTGAAAGCAAAGAATGTTACATTTGGGTTTCTTTGTAATTAGAGAGAGGCTCATATGATCGACCATACTGATTAATTGGCCAGTTATAGATTAACAGTATATCAGAAAATTGTGAACTGTCAGTTTCAAAATCCACCAACATCTTTGTAAAAAATGAATGCATTTTCAAATACGTGTAGTGAATTTTGAGTAAATATTTCATAAAAAAGTGTTTATTTAAATTTCACTTGCTATAATGAAAATGTAATATAATAAAGTCTATTGCTTATCATGTATTTGATTAAAATTTCAGTAAAACAGTAATATTGTGAAATATTATTAATATTAATTTGTTAAAAGAAAAGTCTTATTGACTGTAGCATTCAAATAAAAATATATTTACCCTATTTCCATGCAATACTAAAACAAATTAACATAAGAGTAAGATGATTAGGTCAGTGTTTAATGGTCATTCCGCCCTGACTTTGCACCGTGTTCATGAAATGTCATGTACAAAGAACAGGATTGACAGCCACACTAATGTCAGAGTGACACTGCTGGAGACATGCTACTCTGTTAGCTGAAAATGAACCTTTAGAAGAACAAATCCAAGATAAAAACAGAGAGTACCAGGTAGTGTTTGCTCATGTGATAACAGCTAGCTAAAATATAAGGGTAATGTACTGCTGTTACTGCTGTAATAATACACGCTGGTTAGTTGCTATTATAGCACTACCGTTTGCCAACATGTGAGAAAGTCCATCTGTCAACCTTATCTTGTTGGTCGGTTCAGCAGATACCAAACATTAGCCAATGACATCACTCACAATCTCATTCTAGCCCTTCGCGACCGGTTATCTAGTCAGAGAGCTGGTAAAAAAAAAAAAATGCTGCCATTTTTATTATAGCCAATGTGATGGGGACATGTGAGTTTTTACATCATAGAATCATTAGGTTGAGCATGAATGATGATTAGGTCACCCAAAAATGAAAATTCTGTCATTATTTACAGAACAAGAACAGGAACTGAGGTTTCAGACTTCAATAAATAAATAAAAAGTAGTTCATATGACTCTTGCACAATATTTCAAGTCGTCTGAAGTCATACCATGGCTTCATGTGAGGAACAAACCAAAATTTAAATCACTATTCGGTGATAATCGTAAAGTGAGCTGTTGATTGCTGCACTGAATCATTGAGTCAGTGAGTTGAACTCAAGAACTGAACGAGTCTGATTTGTGAATGAATCAATTAGAGAGTATTAACTAGATGAACCAATTAACTGAAAAGATTTAACTCAAAAGATTTGTTCACAAATCAGCCATCGCTGTGTCTCAAATGAGCGCTCATGAAAATGCCGGTCAGATGTCAAGATTTTCAGTGGCTATTTCTGTTATAATGCTCAGAATATATCTTGAATGAGTCATATGTACCATTTTCATGTCATATTTGAAGCTTGAAAGCTTCAGTCACCATTTGTTGTAATTTTATACTGATTATTTAAAACATCTCTTTTGTGTTTTGCAGAGAAAATAAAGTCAAACGGGTTTGGAAACGACGTGAGGGTGAGTAAATGACAGAACTATTTCTTTAAAGAAACCACTGTTTTTATGTCCCTTGAAACACTGGGCACAGTCAGACCTGAATGGGATCTAATGACTGTCGACTGGTGTTCCTTTAACTACAGAGTAATTTAACTCTGCAGATAAGATAGATGGTGGCAGGAGCGGGTCATTGGGTGTATATTACATGCTGTTGGCTTACACTAGATTTGTTCACTAAACATGGAGTGTCTCTGTCTCTCAATCACTCACTTATGCATGTGTGTATGAGGACATATTTCCCCACCGTACCAAAGCTATTCTGAGTTGTGTTACGAGATTACAAATCTGAGTGGCCTGTGTAGTTGATCGGCTGGCGGCTTCATCAAAGTCCAGAGCTCTGTTGGAGACGCCATACTGACACCTTCCCTCTCTCACAGAGTATGGGGGGTATTCTATCAATCATTAGTTGTGTGGTTAATCATAAAGTTCATAAATCAAATGTGATCTGATCAATGTTGTATTATAAAAATAAATAGATTTTTATTTTTCTAAGAAAACGTGAGGGGCTTTAATGGTTGCTTGGGTATTTTAGGTAGTTACTGGCTGAAATCAAAAGAGTTCATTGTAGAGTCTCTATGATTAATTATGAGCAATATGGATTAAAAAGTTTTAGTATTTTTAGTGTGATATAGTATGAAGCAGTGTTATTTTAGTATTACTTGTATACTATTGTATTTATTAATATTTAGTATTAGCTTTTGCTTTTATATTTTTGGTTTTCATTTTAATTTTGAGTAATTTTGTTTTGTTAGTTTTATGTGTACACACACACACACACATTAGTTTTTCACCTAGTGTTTATATTTTATTTTATTTCAGCTTTATTTCAATTGCTGAAAATGATTTTTAACAATGTCAGCAAATGTCTTCTGTAGCGGTTAATGAAGACTCCTGCAGTACTTGTTTTTCAACCGCATAGACATTCTGCACATTTCGTTCATTTCATTTTTCCAACAAATGGAAAAATCATACAGGTTTGGGGTCGAGCTGAGGATGAGTAGATGATGACAGATGTTTCATTTTTTTTGTGTGCGAACTTCCTTTAAGAGTCAGGCATGCAGAAAGCAGGTAATAACAGCTCTCTACTGCATGTGGTTTAGTGAGTATGCAAACAATCATATCTGTTAACAGTGCTGAGTAAGTGCTTTGGATATCCTGGTTATGAATTTACATCCATATCAGTCTTAGAATGACTGCTTTCATTGTTTTGCTTAAGTAAACAAATCTTCATGTCACTAAACTGGAGTTGAAGAACTCTCAGTGAAAGTCTCAGTGAGTCAGTCCACTCGATGGCCATCTTGGTTTGGTTACACCCTTGAGCGCCTATTTTGTAGTCATGGAAGTACAGCTCCTATTTGCCTGAATGGAGAAGTCTGTAATATCCAAAACAGTGTGCCAATAACATGATAAAATATGCTAAAATTCTATAGCCAATAGCTAATATTTAGGTAATATATATTAGCATAAATAGGAAAACTGACACATATATATGAACCACAGCTATTTCAATTACTTTCAAAAAGTGGTAGGGACAATATCGACCCTGGCAAAAAGTGGTGGGGACATGTACCACCCGTCCCACCCGCAAATTACGCCTATGGAATTTACTGATATTTGCACCATTATTTAACTCTCAAAAAAAGCATAACCCATTTTGAGCCTGTGTTGTTAGTAGATTACCCACACCTGATTACTGTCAGCTCCGCTAATTTGGTAGATTGCGTTGGTCATTATGGAAATCTCACTGTGTCTGTGTTCTTTAATTTGGACATTATCAGTAGATCACCCACAGAACGTTCCACTCCCATTAGTGCTTTTATGAGCTTGCGCTCTAACACTGAATTGCCCTGTTTAGTAAATTTGACCCTATAGTTTTGTATACCGTCTGTAATGTTTGAGCATTGCGAGGGTGTAACATGTATATTTAGTGTGGATGGAGGCTGCTGAGATCCGTGTGCATTCTGAATCCTCAGACAGTATGTATAAGGCAGTGGTCTTAACTATATAAACAGCTTCTATAGCTGTAAATGGTTAAAATTTGGGTCAAATGGAGACCAACAGCTGGGAGCAGACACAAGTACCTGTAAAGGACTGACATCTTTTATATGGTGCAATGACGTTGCCATATTTTTGGAGATGTGCCAATATGTTACCACGCTGCTTTCTGAATTAAATGCATAACTCTAGAGGATGATACTGAGAGAATGAGGATGGGGTTTGGTGTACAGGAAGTGAGAAAGTGAGTGAAAGTTTATTCTCACAGATCAAGGAATGTGTGATCCAGTG